CAGGCCAGGCACTCGGTCCGTCCCCGAAGGCCGTTCGCCAGTACTTCGATGCGGCGGGCGCCCGCCAGCGGCACATCAATGTTCATGTCCCGCAGCATGACGTTGTTGGCGACCCTGGCCCCGGCCTCGCGGCAGACTCGCGCGGCCGCCCGCTCGAGGGGGGCGCCACGGGGCCCCAGCACGCCGGCCGAGGGACAGGCCGAACGGTGGTCACCTAGGGCGTCCAGGTTACCTCCGCATCTTGTCCTGTCGTACATGCCAATTGACTCCCGGTGTGAGACTTCCCATGAGTGGAAATCTTCGTGATAGTTCGCGGGATAGTACTTCGGTTTGCGGGTATTTGATGAGTCGGAAGAAATGTATCAAAACCGGGATCTGTGTAACGGATTGCCCGTGGCTGTGGGCTCGTTGTACGTGCGGGGTGGCAGAGTGTTGTACCAAGCGTCGGTGTATTCTTGCAGGTCCTGCACTAGGTACTGGATGTCGGCAATGACCTCGCGTTGAAACCGAGGTAGAGGATGGAACGAATGTCGGTGATCCAGACACCATCGTAATGTTGGGTCGAGGGTTTTCGGCATCAAGTTGGTGTTACGGTGTAGAGACCAGTTCAAATGTTCTGTCCAGGAATAGTGCGGCATATAGTCATGCTGTCCCTCTCGAGGTGGTGGACCTTCAAGGCACCCGGGTGCTGTTCCACAGATTCACGACTTTGTCCAAGGCAGACTCGTGTGGGTTTCGAGGTATGCCGGCTTCGGCAGTTCCCAGCAACACCAGGAACAGCAGCCATATCGCCGTCGGCAGACGCCAGGCGTTTCCCAGAGCGATATCTCTTTTCGTCTCGTCGCCGTGGGCCAATGGCTCGGTGTATCCTGGGCGGAGTCTTGTAGCTGTTCACGTAGTGAAGTCGGTGCCGTAGAATATACGTCCCGTCCGCCCATTGTACCAGAAACTTCTTCGTACTGGCACGGTGGATAACGTTGATGATCTGCCTTCCAGCGTTGCGTGGTTCCTTCGGAGATCTGTCGTTGTTTATGCGATTGTGGCGGAGGTCTTCCATGTGGGGGGTCGGCAGATGGTGTCGTCAAGCAATGGAACAGTTTCTTTCCTCGTTGTAGACATTGTGGTCCCGAGAAGCCACTCGTTACAATCGGTCTTTGTAATTAGTAATTCCTGTGCCATCGGATTGTGTAGTCGGTGCCACCCGTCGTCGGTGGTCCAACTGAGAGACCAAAGCGAGCGCTTGGATAGCCTGTTCTTGATGTCATCCCAATCCGCTGATGTCCACCAAAGGCGTTTTCGGCGTATTATTTTATAGTCCGCGGCGTCGACGACAATGGGTCCATGGCCAACGTTGCTAGGGTCATCGCGAAGGCTAGGATGTGGTACCACGTTCTCGATAGCCGTCGTTATGCCTGATCTGATGCTCGATCTCCAACATGTGTTGGAGAAGCCAACCGGAGCTGCCTTCACATCCCGGTGGGTCTTGTCGTATCGTGGAAAAATCTGGACATGGAGGCCCCGCAGCGCCGAGCACAATGAATTGTCGATGGGAAACGTTCTGCTGTATGAGGTCGTAGATTTCGTCGACTTTAAACCTTCTTTTTTCCACGCACCTTTTTGTCCGCAGGCAGGTTCGCGTTAGGGGTCCCGGTGCAAGCACGGCCTACTGGGCAGGGCCGGCGCAACTAGGACTGGTCGAGGCCAGCTAGGCGGCGTCCCAGCGCGCATCGGCAAGGACTTCGTGCAGCTCGGGCTCAGGCCCCTCTCCGAGCTCTGCGGCTGGGGGAAGCTCCAGCAAGTGGCAGCGGGTCGCAGCAAGCCCGGGACGTCTGCGGCACAGTGCCGCGCCAGAAGGCGCAGCAGCTGCACGGTCTCGGAGCCAAACCTGCCACCAACCTCAATACCAACGACAACCAAGCGGCACCGTCGGGCCTGACCAAGCTCAGGGTATGGGTGGTGTCGCTTGCGGCGTGCAGCATTGGTGACGGCAGGGCCAAGTTGCACGTCGGCATGGGGGTGTGCTTCGCCTTGACGCGTCAGGGGGGACACAATGGTCGCGTCGACGGCGAGCTGGGATCCATGCCACAGCGGCAGGCCGTCGGCAACGACTTCGATGCGCCGCTCGTCTGCGACGGGCACATCAAGGATCATGTCGGCCAAGCGCACGTGGTGGGCGACCCTTGCACCGGCCTCGCTGCACACACGCGCGACGGCGTGCTGCAGGGGCACGGCGCGCGTGGACAGGACGCCGGAGGTGGCACACGCCGCGCGGTGGTCACCAAGCTCATCGAACTGTCCACGGCAGCTGCATCTGCGCGACACGAGCTGCAAGGGCATGCGCAGGCGCCGCAGCAGCAGCAGCAGCAGCAGCAGCAGCAGCAGCAGCAGCAGCAGCAGCAGCACCCGGAATTGGGCGCTAGGGATGCTGGTGTCGTCATGTGTGGGCCTGGTGTGGGCATGACGCTAAAGGCGCGGCCGGCGAAGGGCCCCGCTTGCGAAAGCAGCAGCGCACGAGACGCAGGTGAGAGTTCAGCAAGATGCGTCTCGTATACGCGCGCTCATTACACGCGCGGGCGGCAAGCCGCTGCCATCCTTTGAAAGGGTGAGCTCCAACAAAAAAACAGCACACGTGTTTGTAAGCCGCACCAAAAAAAACCCTTCATTCCTTGCACTGTTTGTCTGGCCTCTTGGTTGCGT